TGCTTTGTGTACGGTGAATCTGCCTTTCTCATTGTATCTGATTTAGCTTAAGCATGTTAGTGAGAGAGAATCCTGTTCAAGATCAGCATACATGTAGACAGTGGTGGGATTCAACCACTTCGCACCAGTTCGGGAAAACCGGTTGTTAACTTTCTGAGCAGTTTGGTGAACTGGTTGTCGGAAGAAATCATTAGGGCAGAGAACCGGTTGTTAAATTATTTGAATCCCACCACTGCATGCAAGCTTTCTCCTCTAATCACTTCCATGGCAAAATTATCCCATTAGCACCTGTAGAAAACAGATAAACCTATAAAAAGAAGCTGGGAAGAGGGTGTGAGGAGGATCTGGCTGCAACAGTTGTCACCCCATTGATTGCTACTGTTGCTTTGGCTGGCTAGGAAGCCAGATTCCTTCCTCCCTCACTGCTCTATGTGCATCCCTCTTGATGCTGAACACTCAGTGGAAGAGGATGACTTTTCAGAAGAAGTGTAGGATCTTGGGTCAAGGGTATACAATAGCTGTGCTCTCCTGCTAGAAATTCCAAATGAGCTCAAACTGGGAAAAGAAAATTGAGATCTTCACTAGTGGAATGATGGTCCCTTGTCAAGATCTAGTCCTTGTACACAATGTATGCTACTTAAAAAAATATTAAGACAATCACATGCTTTTCCCCTGGGTGTGTGAATGTCTAGATTTTTTTAAAAAAATCTAATTTTGTATCCTATTTTATTGTATACTAAGCATTTATCCATGCAACTGATAGGAGTTGAGCCCAATTCTGTGGCACCTATTTTTATAACTAATTGTAATATACTTCTCATGCTGCTGTTTTAGCTGTACTTTCTGAGGATTTCAATTGTATGCTGCCTCAATGGGTTGAAAAGCAGGGCATGAAATTAGGCCAGTGAAATCTTCCCATCCATTCTTCCAATAAGCTTTAAACCTACCTATCAAGGTGGCTAATTTTAGGAGTGGGTGGGGGGACAAAACTGCCTTGGAAGCATTGTCTAGAGGCAGCAGCTATGCATCATCCAGAATATCTGTCCCAGTATTGTCTTTTGCAAGGGCTGAAAATGTTGGGAATGGGACAATCTGAACAAGGCATTGTTGCTAGTGGTGGTTCATGTATATTTTAAGGAAAAAGGAATTAGATGGATTTCATTGGGGGTTTTTTTCTGCCTTGAAAATATTCACTACCACCTGAATGGAAAAGTGTATAGGCTAGTTTTCAGTGAACGTGAATTGATTCAGGATTATGCAGGAACCAACAGAATCCCATAGGACTTTGGTAGAGTAATGTACAAGCTACAACGTGACCAGTGTAGAAGAAAGAAAACCATCCTTTCAGGGTGAGTTCCTCTAGGTGTCAGGTTGTCCTAGCATTAGCTTCATAATAAAGTTTGAATTTGGAAAATGGTTTGAATTTG